GGGGGGTGTTGGGGTTTTTTTTATACAGACCTACGTCTTAACCATATGTACAGGTACAAAGATACCAAGAAGACTAGTCTCTTCATGGTATAAATTGCGTTATAGGATGTGAAAAACATTCATATTCCATAACATGCAAGGACATCGAACGTGTTACAAAACTCGAACTTTTTACGACGGCATTTCAAAGTGTAAAGTCATCACAGCATGCATACAAAAACGTGAACTTTACGAATTTTTTAGTGGTGTCTGTGGCATAGTGGTTAGGCACCCTGCCAAAGCACTCAAAATATCTGAGTTTGAATTCTGTTTTGGGAGAATTTATATGGAGTTTCTCCATCGTTCTGCCGGTATGTTGTATCATTCTCAGCCCGAGTTCGATGCTCACCTCCAAACAAATCTAACGGTTAAGATACTGACTTCAGTCACAAAAGAAATACACATAACTAATCCGTAATATGTCTGCTCTCTAAACAGCCATAAAAATGTCATGTGACTTCCCCCTGTATTAGGTTGTCTGCGCCTGACAGGCTGCGTTTTTCCTGCTCTGTAATGTGTGTGTCTTTTTCGTATCTTGTGAATGGATTGTGGTTTTTGAAGTTGGCTTACATAATAAATAAGAAACATTTGTGCTTTTTGTGTTATTTTAATTAGTGCTTGATCGCAAATTATCAACGATTTGCAAGAAATATATTTCGTTATGGAAGTGGCTTTGGCTTTGGCCATTTTCAACATTTGCAGTATTGTGTGGAAACCCGTGTTCACCACCCAACCCCACCCCGTTTATAATGTTAATAGCAAAGCCAACATTTTTCTGAATAATGGAAGTGAACACTGTCAAGTTGTTATTACGGTGTGTGTTGTGAGTCCCCGTGCGGGATCTACAAAGGTGTGCTACACTAGAGACCAGTTATTGTCTGTAAACAAAAAGACACATGACATTTCATATGAAACGGCCGTTTGCTTGTCTCAGCTTGGCCTTGAAAGATCTAAAGACTCGGCCAGCAAAGTTAAGAAATACAAGAGGGGAAAACGAGGAGGTAGAAGAAAACAAAGACCAATCATTGTTGTCACAGGGAATAGGTGTGTTAGTTTAAATGAACCTCGAAGCGTCATTACTCCCATGAACTTAATTGCCGTTGACACAAAAAACACCGTATCTGAATTGTCAAGTAATTTTAAAATTATTCTACTGAACACACAGTAAACCTAAAAATAGACCGTCTTACTCAATGATTTAATACTTGAGTCCAACTCCGATATCCCATTTTTTACGGAGTCATGTTTGCCGAACGTCGGAGATGAAATCATTACAGCCGGCCTAACTCCACCGGGATACAAGTCCATCTCCGTCTCAAGAAAATTAAATGGTCGAGGGGGAGGGATATGCGTAATTTAAAAAAGATCTCTAAACATCACTTCACAGAAAATGCCCTCCTTTAAAACGTTCGAATGTTGTGAGATCAGTCTATATATTAAAGGTTGACCGGTCATGTCATTTTGTCCGTGTCTATCGACCACCTCCAAGCAGGAAACACAAACTGAAAATTAAAGATTTCATTACGGAATTCCAGGATTTACTAGAACTACATACCACCAAGAAGACACAGCCTATAATTTTAGGGAACTTTAATTTACATTTTGAAGATACCTTAGACACTAATGTTAAATTTATCAAATCCAATCTAGAGACTCGTAGTCTCTATCAACACATTGATGTCCCCACTCACATTTAAAAACACACATTAGATTGGGTGATTACGGACAGTGTCAATAAAATCCGTGAAATTCAAGTAAAGAACAAAAGCAATTCTGATCACTACGTGGTGTCCTTTGAAATAACTCGTATAGGATAGGGAAGCCCAAACTGAGACACCGCAAAATAACAACCCGGAAATGGACATTGATCATGAAAAGTTTGGAGCGGACATTCGTCAGCGTTTAAAATTCATACACGGTTCAACCTCCGAGAAGGTAGAGATTTTCAACTCCAAGATGTGTGAACTACTAAACAAACATAGAGTCTGCACCACTCAAATCCAGAACAGTGACTGATCGACCTTCTGCCAGGTGAATGACTTTGGAAATTAAACAATCTGAAATGGAACGTAGACGAGCTGAAAGACGCTGGAGATCAACAAAGCTGAAAATTCATGAGGACATTTATAGACAACATAGTGAAATCATTAATAACATCTGCCAAATTTATGTATTATAACGGAAAAAAATAATGAATGTACAACCTCTAAAGCTTTATTTTGTATAACAAATCAGTTGTCTGGTAAGAAAGATCCGGCCAGCAACAAGTTTTCCTCGAATGTACCTAAAAGTAACCTTCCTGATGTTTTTGGTCAATACTTTAGAGACAAGATATCCACGATTAGGAAAAAAATTGACACGACTACCTTTAATGAATTTGTACGTGTAACACAAGAAGATGTAAGATCAATCATAAAACCCCATAAAACATGTAGTCTTGATTCCATTCCAACACCACTGCTCATCACAAATTTTGATAGTGTCATTGGATTTATAAATTCCATCATTAATGAGTCTCTTCAGTCTGGAGTAGTACCATCACTCTTTAAGCATGCTTTAGTTATTCCCCTTCTCAAAAAATCAAATCTTTCCCCGGAGGAGCTCAAGAATTTCAGACCTGTCTCCAACCTTCCCTTTTTATTAAAAAAAACTTGGAGAAAGTTGTTTTGGTTCAATTGAAGAATTATTTAAAAGAAAACCATTTATATGAATTATATCAATCTGCCTATCGGCAATTTCATAACACAAAAACTGCGCTATTGAAAATATATAACGACCTCTTGTTTGAGGCGGATGAGAACAAAATATCAATTCTTTCTCTTCTTGATCTTAGTGCTGCCTTTGACACTATAGATCACACTATTCTTATTGAACGATTGTTCAACACGTTTGGCCTGTCTGGCAGGGTTATTGACTGGTTCAGGTCCTACCTGATTGGCCGTACACAATCTGTGGTTGTGCACGACTCTCTTTCGTCAATTTTTAAGCTAGACTTTGGAGTGCCCCAAGGTTCAGTATTGGGTCCAATCTTGTATACGTTATATACACAGCCGCTTGGAGCTGTTATTAGAAAGCACAATATGAATTATCACATGTACGCTGACGATACACAATTATATAAATCTGTTCCACCATTAGATGTTAAAACCTTGCTTACTACCATGGGTCTGTGCATTGATGACATCAAAAATTGGATGGTTGATAATAAGCTCAAGCTTAATGAAAATAAAACTGAAATTCTGTTATGTAACCCAAAAAAAAGCCATATCCCCGTAGACATTGATCATATTTGTACTGAAAATGAAAAACTGTATTTTACTAATAAAGCAAAAAATCTGGGAGTGTATTTTGATTCAAAATTGTCAATGGAACATCATATCAATTATTTATGTACCATTTTATTTTGTGAATTGCGTAAAATTGGTCATATGTCTATGTTTTTGAATGAACACTCGTTGAAAACGCTCGTGTCATCTTTCTTGTTTTCACGCATCGATTATTGCAATGCTTTTCTAGCTAACTTACCAAATACCACTCTTCACAAGTTACAACGTTTTCAAAATCATGCTGCTAGGCTTGTACTAAAGAGAAAGAAGAGGGACCACATTACTCCCATGTTAAGAACGTTACATTCGCTTCCCGTGTCAGCTAGAACGTCATATAAAATTGCATTATTATGTCATAAATGTGTCAATAACAAAGCTCCCTCATATCTTAGTGATCTCATCCAGATTTATGTTCAATGTAGAAACAGGCCTGTCGTTTTTCGTCCAAAAAGAGGAATTTTACTGTCGTTAGTGGACCGCTTGTTCTTGATATTAATCCACATAATAGTAGTATGACTCCTTAAAGTTCTGCCCTGGTTGAAAAATGCTGTAAATGAGCAGAGATCAAAAATTGAATTCTCTTGAACAATAATCCCACGCGACAATGCTCTGCTTCAGAATTCCAATGTTCTCCATGACATTTTTAGCCGTTTTGAGATACTAAGATCATGAGGTCAGAAGCCAAATAATGTTTTGCTCTGTCAAAATCTAAACGTTAGTTTGAGTCGTTATAAAGAGATTCAAAGAATTGTATTTGAAAAAGCTTGACAAGTTGGGAAACTCAACATTTTGACGCCAAATTATTCAAAACTAGGCACTGAACAGATAGCATTTTGTATTTCTGAGGTAGCAAACGCAACTCCCCACAAAGCATCGACTACAACTCTTGTGCATACAAAAGCAAGGGGTCCAAGTTTTGCCTCATCCAGCCTACAGTTCTAGGTTAGTTCCACGTAACTTCCGCTTGTTTATTATTCCAAAAGAAAAACTTGTATTGGACTAGAGTTTAACGAATTCAGGACCGGTCAAAAGCTGTAGATTCAAAACTGCAAAGCTACTGCTGTGCCTTCCAGAAGTGGATGGGGAGGCTGAAATCCTGCATGCAAAGTCAAGAGGAATATTTCACGTGAATGACATTTTCTGGTCCGAAAAATTCGTGGATCTACCCTCTATTATTATAAAACACAGATATTTTTTTATTATTTTTTTTGTAAATGTCTTTCATTTCGTATTTAGACATTTAGATCCGCCAAGACTGCTCTGACCCTGCTAATCAATGCCAGCCCTAATAAAGCGAAATACAACAGCCACGCTTGAAAAATATTGCACTCTCGAAACAGTCTTCTCCACATTGGAACTGACATCACACTGTATTGCAGCTGCCAGTAAGTTTTCCTCCAATCACCTGCATCAGATTTGTAGTACTTGTACCGATATGGTTCCAAGGGAAGACTTCCGTAACGATCGACCACTATGAGACAGAGGAGAATAGAGGTCTAGAGGTAGGGGTAGGGGTAGTTGTAGGGATAGGGGTTGTTGTAGGGATAGGGGTAGGGGTAGAGTTTGGGTTAGGGTTGTGTTAGGTCTCTTTGTTATCATGTTTGTTGGAATGGTCGCTCGTTTCGGAAGTCCCTCAGTCCCTATACCGAAGCTGTTTTGAACAGACTCACCTGTAAATATCTGCCAGAGTGTCATATTTATCTAATATGGACAAGATCTCAGGAGCCATGTAAACTGGAGTCCCAATGTTCAGGGTGACGATGTCTTTCACTTTCTTGGCGAGTCCAAGATCTGCAATTCGGACCTTCGACTCGGCGGTCAGCTGATGAAAATTTTAACAGACGTAAAAGGTGATAGTAAACAATATAGAGTGTAGACAAGGGAAGAGCCTTACGAAAAAAATAAAGAGACGAAAGGATAATGGTTTTTAAAAAAAGGCGGCGGCGGAATAGAAAGATAGGATGGAATTACACAGACAGAAAAAGCTCAAGAAAAATTATAAAGGAGATCGATTTTGGAAACAGTTTTTTAATATGTAATATTAAAAAACGAAACAAACATTCTAATAGTTTATTTGGGATTTTTAAAATACATAAAGGCAGAAAAATAACGACAGACAGTTCATATGAATACACTTTGCCTGCAAGATGCATGTTTGATTATTAAGGTCTTTTATAGATTTGAAGATGTCTTGTTTTGAGACATAACAGACTATACCTAAGGTTTTGATTATTCAGAGCCATCTTAACGTTTGCTAACAACACTTCTAACAAATAAGACTTGAGACATATGTTCGGCCTAAAACCTAAGTTAGAAACTCCCAGGTGATAGCACTAAAATGTGAAAGACTTTGACGTCCCAAACCCATCAAGAGAGGTACAAACTGTTAACACAATACTGTAAAAATTGTCCCAGACAAACTTTCAACATTCAGAAATCATGTTTCGCGAGCACCCTATACAAGTTTTAGTAAAGCGGATAAACGTACCAGCACATTGTCTGGTTTGAGGTCCCTGTGCACGATGTTCTTGTTGTGCAGATATCTCAAACCGTTGCAGATCTGAACAAGGAAGTTGAGTACCTCCAAAACTGACTTGCTCTGCTCGGCAGGTTTTGCACCCAGCTTGCTTGGAGAATTGGCACTATTTTCAGTACCTATACACCTTGCCTGTTTGAGAACCAGATAGGCAAATTATAGTTGATTAAAAAATAGTAAAAGATATTGTTATAAACCAGTGTTTGGCAACCTGGGATCACCAGGGTAGTGACAGCCTTTTAAAACTGGCAAAAGAGGGAGCTGGGTGTAAAAGGGTTGACAAGCACTGTTCTACACAAATACAACTCAGTTACATGTTTCAATAAATGTATATGAGAATTCCTTCACAAATTGAAAAACTGCATTTTCGTACAAAGGATTGTGGAAAGGACAATGAATCACCACCTGTTCTAATACTTTCACATGCCTAAACACATTTCATCTTCGAGTTAATTATCTTACATCACACAACATATTGTGCTCTTTACCACACTGGTAAAACAAGAACTGGGAAACAAAAACAACACTGCACACAGTAAGTGGCACTGGTGTATAGAATCAGTCTACGTGTTGCAAACTATCAAAAATGAAAAGTTCAGAATAGTTGTAAGGAATCATTCTTTTTGCCATTATGTAGATCTACATTTTATTGGCCAACCTCATAAGAGATTCACGGAATGCATAGAGTAATCAAACTGACACAAATGAATACAGACAGCCCTGCCGTCTCATGAAAGAAAAACGTACGAGTACATTATGCCAAAAATGAAATTTTACAGGAGAGGCAAAAACTAACTTTTTGTGTGTGTTTCAAGTTAACTGAAATGAAACTTGGTGGATCTGATTATTAATATTTTATGTCAATATTCATTTACCAGCGTAACATTTGTATGATTTGCTGAGGAATAGAGTAAATAGCTATAGAGCAACTGGTTAAGATTTCTTTTGTCATAACAATATCAACAAGTAATTAAGTCACAATGCATATTATCAAAAGCCCCAAAACGTCCTTATTGTAATAGTACAGCCAGCCAAAAAATCAAGACAGAAAGACGCCCAACACAAAGATGTTTATTCCTAATATAAAAACGCTAATTGACCTTCTTACTCATGTTAGGGTGGGGGGGGGATGGTCATAAGACGGCAGAGCCGTTTACCTTGAGTGTGTAAGGGCAGAACTCCATGACCATAATGAGCCTGAGATCGGCCTCTGGTCCTGTGCGACAGACACCGTAGTACTTCACAATGTTCACGTTGTCGATTTCCCTGAAAACACACTAGAACAGCTTAGCAAGATGGCAAACTATGACAGAGACTTTAACATTAAAAACAAATATATGAGACAAAAAGGGGAGATGGGGAGTAGAGTATTCACTTTTGCACTTATAAAAGGATTTATTTCATCCGAATTTTCTCTCTCTCTCTCTCTCTCTCTCTCTCTCTCTCTCTCTCTCTCTCTCTCTCTATCTATCTATCTATCTATCTATCTATCTATCTATCTATCTGTCTGTCTGTCTGTCTGTCTGTCTGTCTGTCTGTCTGTCTGTCTGTCTGTCTGTCTGTCTGTCTGTCTGTCTGTCTGTCTGTCTGTCTCTCTCTCTCTCTCTCTCTCTCTCTCTCTCTCTCTGTTTCTCTCATTCACATATTCACAAACACTTCATCAGAGGACCCCAAACCACACAGACATGCATTATCATGGACACACACACACACACAAACACACACATACACACACACACGCACACACACATTCACACACATACATACACACATACACACACACACACACTTAAAAGTGGAACAGTTTATGTCCCTTCTCACCTGAGCATCGTCTCTTCCAACAGCATGTCCGTGACTTCAGCAACATTAACAGGATCTTTTGGTTCCTTGATGGCAACAACAACTGAGTCTCCAGGCCGGATTTTCAGTGTCCCCTTGTAGACATTAGCAAAAGAGCCTTTGCCAAGTTTCACTTTGTCACGGTAGCTGTTTTTGGTAAAAGAAAAAAAAGAATATTGTAAATATGCATTTTTTAAAGGACACTCAAGTTTTGGTAGTTGCCAAACTTTTGCGGCCATTATATTAGCAATGTTATCTCTGACATCAAGTGACCCAGACCTCCTTCAATTACAAAATATTATCTCAACCTCCATCTACTATGATAGATGGATTTTTTTTTTCATCTAAAGCAAATCAAAGGAAGTACCCTTACGATGATCTTTATAACACCATTTTAAGCCCGAAAATTGCTGTCACCATGTCGTTACACAAATCGCTTTCCACTTTTTTAGTACGTGTTTACGGCACTTGCAACACAATAAAGTGATATAAGTGCCTAAGATTAGAGGCGTTGCAAGAGAGCAACAAACACCAAAACACGAAAAAGGCGGAGTGGCGAAAAGGACGATAGAATTATATATTTGATCAGAAAGAAGGAGCAAACCACACCTGAGCACCCACAAACAACTCACTCGTTTCTACGACAGTTTTACTCTTTTTGTCAGCCCCCCCCCCCCTTTTCTCCTCCCAACCCCTAAAGGTTGTCTACGTAAAAAGCGGAACGCTTGGTGTATCTGTATAATTAACTGTTTCTCACACCTCTTCTATATTCTCAGATTCACTCTCTGTGTCGTCGGCAATCTGTTTCTATATGTGGGTTACTCCATTTGTCTTAGCATTTTCTCCAACCTGTCTCTCTATGTCTTTCTCTCTATTTCTCTCTCACCCTATGTCTCCCCCAACCCTTTTTTCTCTCTCGCTCCCTCTCTCTCTCTCTCTCTCTCTCTCTCTCTCTCTCTCTCTCTCTCTCTCTCTCTCTCTCTCTCTCTCTCTCTCTCTCTCTCTCTCTCTCTCTCTCTCTCTCTCTCTGTTTGTGTGAGGATGTGTGCTTGTTTCTGTTTCTATTTATGTGTATGTGAAGGTGTGTGTGTGTGTGTGTGTGTGTGTGTGTGTGTGTGTGTGTGTGTGTGTGTGTGTGTGTGTGTGTGTGTGTGTGTGCCTTTCTTTCTTTCCATTACTTACGAAGTACGCACAACAAAAAGTAATTGTTTCAAACCTGAAGTGATGTGTGGCGCCAAAACCCATATTCCATAGTTATCGTTGGGGCCAAAGTACTGTTCCTAATTTCAAGTAATCGTTTAACAAAACGAATGCAATACTCACTCCAGCTGATCGGCTGTGAAGTCAGAAACCATGAGTCTTTGAACATAGAGCAGGTCGAGCCTTCCCTGTAGGTTAGCAACTGTTCCAGACATTGAGGGGTACTCGCCTAGTTTCCTTTCGCCCGAGTGAAGGTCAGAGTTCAACTTCTCAAGCAATTGTTGATCCGCTTTGATCAATTCTGGGATTTTGGTACCGATTTTGTCAATACTTTTGACAAGTCTACAGAGCAGGATGGTAGAAAAAAGGAAAAACGCCATTAAATTAAATGTGACCTTTTGTAACTTCAGAACTAAGATAATATAAGATAAGCTGATACTTTAATATCCCAGGGGGAAATTTTCTTGGCTGTACAGGACCGTAAAAACACATGCAGGTGTACATAAACAATTTAAATTATTCATTACTCTCATTACAATTTAATATGAAAAGAGAAGTAAAGCTGACAAAATGACGAAATGCACATTCACATCAGAAGCAGTATTCAACCACATGCAGGAATTTAATTACAAGACCTTTGGAGTTATATATATATATATATATATATATGTATATATATATATATATATATATATATATATATATATATATATATATATATATATATATACATACTCTAAAGAGCAACACACATAATATGCTCATTCTGACAAAAGCCTTATGCTAGGTTGTAAAAAAAACTTCTTGTATATCTTTCTCTCTTCGATTTTGGAAGTATATATCTGCCGCTGCGTGATCTTACGATTTGCGTGGAAAGGGGGTGTTATGGGTGGTTTTTAATGCTTTTTGTCTTTCTTATACTTGTGGTGTTATACATTTCATAAATTTTAGAAAAATTATATCCATTTTCTTTATCTTTCACCTTACAATCCCCCCCCCCCTTTCCATCCCCAGCAGCAAATACAAAATAATAGCACACTTTCAATCTAGAACGGTATAAAAGGGACATAATCTTGTTGTCAACACGAAAATTTCTTAATTTTCTTAAAAGAAACTTTATTTGGTTTACTTTTTTATGCACAAGAAACGCGTAGGGATGCCAGTCAAGTCTGTTATCGATAGTTACACCAAGATACTTGTAAGACCTTACCACCTCCACCTCCACCTCCACCTCCACCTCCACCTCCACCTCCTCATCTTTAAAAAATAGTGGTTGTTATTGGTCTTTTTTATACTCTCAAGTCTTTTATTAATTCCTTTGTCTTCTAAAGAGGTCAATCGCCGAATATACTCGTGATATATTAGAGTTCATCCACATCGTAAGGAGAGAAAATAAAAACAGGAACCCCCACGATACTTAATCTTCTCCTTGTCATGATCTTTGTCGTCGTTACACTATTCATTTGTTGTCTGAATCATCGTCACCTCTTTTTCAATTGTATTCCTCCTTATCATTTACGCTCCTTCTTTATACTAGAACCATTATCAACAAGGATTTTATTTTATTATTTAAACAAGCAAAAACCAATAGCAATTGAAAGAAAAATAACTGGAAGGTATAAGTTAATGTCCATTTTTTGTCCTGAGCAAAATTGTGTCAGTCATTAGCTAGGATACAACGTTCCTCTTCAACAAGAATGAGCCATCCTAAACTGGGAGACCCCAGGAAACGTCTGTCAATTCCATTTCAAAAATACACCTGGGAGTGTCGAACTATATTTGTTACTTCGCATTTCGACAAGAAACAAAAAGATGTAAGGCATGGAGCAAATATTGAGATTCAAAATAAAACAATTCACTTGAGTTTCGTTTCCATCTTTTCTGTATATCCTCACAGTAAGTAAAAGTAAAACAATGCGCGACCATTTTATAATGAACACAAATCAGACCACTTCTTATTTTCACAAATTAAACTAATAAACTCTTTAAGAAAATATAGCACACAAATAAAGTAGGGAAAGAAATTAGAATTTAACTACCAATATCCATATGTAATAAAGCAAAACATGAATACAAAGCCGACGAAGAAAAACAACATTACAGAAACACACCTGTCAAAAAACTTAACGAGCGAGGAAACAACAACGGTTTCATTGAGGAAGCCCAGAAAGATCTCTGTGGCCTTGGCCATGGCCCTGCACGGGTCACTCTGGTACTTGTCCTTAAACAACGTCCGCAACTCAGCGTTTTTGGGGTCAAGGCTAAACCCAGAGGTCACAGAGTTACCCAGGCTGAAATAGAAGACAAGATTACCTTCTTTCATTTTTTTTTTGGTCTCAGTGTTGCTGTTGCTGTTGTTGTTGTTGTTGTTGTTGTTGTTGCTGTTGTTGTTGTTGTTGTAATTGTCATCATTGTTGGTGCTGCCATTGTTGTTGTTGCTGCAGCTGTTGTTAATAGTGGTGGTGTTATTTTTGTGCTGATATTTTTCTTTATATACTTATGTTGTTACTATTGCTGATGCTGATAAAACCATGAGGAGATTTAAAAAATCTTTTCATCCAGGGCCACATAATAACCGTTGCTGGTTTGTTTTTTAATTTGTTATTTGACGATGTATGAGTGCTTTTTCAGCACTTTGGCAAAAGGCAAATGTAATGGCCCTAGTGTTACTTAGCATGATTACTTCGTTAACTCGAAATGTTTAGTTTGCCGTAAACTGCATGCGGGCCTGAAATACGTTAAGCCAGATGTAAACATACCTGAGAAAAGCTGGCGCGCCTTTAGACAGTTTGGCTAGTTTTCCTCCCTTCTTGGAAGACAGAGAGCTTGTCACAGACATGTTAAAATTTGTCTCAGCTTGAACATCGTGTGCCAACGCTCCTGAAAAATAAAAATAATACACCAATAAACATGAGTGCAAAGCAAGGAGATAAAATTTCATACAAAGTTATCTAAACAGGTAACTGTCGGTGGGATCGAAACCTGTGTACACAGTCAAGTTGTTGAGTTAATGATTTGTTAAGAGATTTGAAAAATGTGCTCAAGTCAAGCATTTCTGATACAAAGATGTAGATCTAGCAGCCTCTTGATTCACTTCTGTTTCTTAACTTCTAGAGGAACTTACTATTAAATTATCACGTTGTTCATCCATCTAAACAGTGCCGGATTAACCATTAGGCAAATAAGGCAATTGCCTTGGGGCCACTCAAAAAATAGGCCACAAACGGGCCAGAGACAGGGTACAACAAGGCCACATTTTTTCGGGTTTTTTCCACGTTTTCATCAGGCCGCAGCAAGGCCAGTCAGCAAGGCCACAACTAGAATAGCCCCAGGCTAGCCCTAGCCAGAGTCCGACTGAGTTTTTAGTCCCAGGCCAAGTTCAGAAAGTGCTGTCACATTTTGTTTGGCCTCTCTCTAGGCCACATTTTGTTTCTAAAATTAAATTGAATCATTAGCAGTGGGTTCCAAATCAAACACATTTGGCCTCTAAAGTCACCAGATACCTGGCAACCCAGATAACAGTTCCAAAGTTGTGGCCCTGCTGGAGTCAAAAGCTTGCAAATGCTACATTTCTAGCCTAATTTCTGCCAAATTCGACAGTTTTCTAAGTGCACATGAGGTGAAAGGTGAACTGTGCTTACAAAACCCCCGATATATAAAAAATCAAGGTGCTATCTGTATAATAATTCAGACATCTATTATTAGGCATAGACGTTTTAAGCAAGGGAAGGGACAGAAAGGGATGCCAACATTATACGTGTAAAAAGTTATTTTTTGTACTATTTTTTGTTTTTTAGCTAATTGAAACATTACAAAATTAGTGTCAAGATTCCAAATGAATAATATAAAACGTAGAATAGACCTAGATCTAGATAAATCTAGTCTAAGTCTAGTAGCGCAGTGTTTATATATTTTTTAATGGCATCCCCTCTTTTAGGCCTAAACCCTATCACCTCCACAACTCCCCCTCCCCGGAACTCGGGACTCAACAGTTACTTGTGAGGTTGACCTAAAGATCCTACTGTTAGTACAGTTAGCTTTTGAAGCAATCCACGAAATTAGACCATCCTAGATCACAGAACTCATAAATGTGAAAGCATCTTTCAGAAACACAAGACAGGGTAAACACCCAAGACTGTCAACTAGAAATGCCAGAACAAAAATCGGAAATCGGGCTTTCAGTGTTTCAGCCCCATCTTTATGGAACGCACTGCCATCAGCAATAGGAAATGTTGAGACAAGACATCTCTGTTCCAGAAAATATTCAATTGATCCAAATTGTAGCGCCTCAGAGCAGATCTTCTAGAGTGGGCGCTTTATAAATGCCTTGTGAGTTATGATTTATGACTTACATATTGCTAGCCTAAGCAACAGAGGGCCAAATAGTTATTTTCAATACTAATGCTATCATATGTCGGTAAAACTATATGTTAAATTACGCGAACAAATTTTTCTTCATACTAACAGGAAAATGAAGAAACCCAACGGGAAAGTGAGAGTTGGTGGGATTGGGGGCAGGGGGGGGGGAGACAGGAAAGTTTGTGTGTATGTGTGGGAGAAGGTCTTTTAAACTGCAGCTTTGGCTGCAACTGGATATATTTTATTTTGACAGTGGCTATGCCGTATGACTGCATTTTGATCTCAGGCAGTAGTAGTACACGAACTAGTACTTTACTTATAATATACAATATTGAGGATGCTGATAGAGACCAGAATCGACATAATATAATCCAAACCATTGCAGCAGCAGCAAAAAACAAAACAAAACAACAACAAGAACAAAAGCAGCAGCAGCATCACCTCCACCACTACCACAACATAGGCCCTACCACGTTACTTCATAATGTACTTTTCTTGTGCATGCTTATCCTCAGTGTCTGCTAGGATTAGTATCTTGAAATGTCAAAACGAAAGAGTGTATGGGAACGAGCGAAGGAGTTGGAGAGGAAGAAAATTAAAGAAGGAGAAGAACTGAAAAAATTAACAAAACTGACTTCAATTTTTCATGTTAAAAAGAAAAGTAGAAGCGAACTTTCTTCATCTCAAATCGATAGCAACCAAGAAAAGCCTACTGCTAGTACTATTGGAGCTGGGGTAGCTGGTGGTGAAGCTTCTTCATCTCAAATCGACAGCAACCAAGAAGAGCCTACTGCTGAAGCTGAGCTAGCTGATGCTAAAACAGTCGAAACTGATAATATTTCAGGAACAATAGCAAATGATGTAGGGCTTCTAGTTGACATAACGGACTATGTGCTTGAAATGTGCATAACTCGCGGAGCAAACCAGTTTTGGAATTTGGCAAGTGACTATCCAGAGACAAAACGAGACTTTTCTGGCGTGAATCGGTATTTAAATAACAGTGCATTCAAACGTATTTTGTCAAATGGAGAAGTAGTTGATCATGACTGGCTAGTATATTCTCCAGCCAAAGCCTGTGTTTTCTGTTTCCCTTGCTTTTTGTTTTCGCCAGACCGCGTACATCTTTCTGGTCAGGGGTTTACAGATTGGAAGAATATAACTATTTTAAAACACATGAAACAAGTCCCAAACATATAAACTCAGTCTTGACTTTATGTCAACGTAGTGTTGCTGGTGGTCAAGTTGACGAGCGGTTAGACCAAAACTTACTGGAACAACGAAAATACTGAAAAACATTTTGTTACATTGTATTAGACAAGCATTTTCCTTTGTGAGAGAGGGCTGGCTTTTCGAGCCAGTAATGAAATCGTTGGGTCCAAGGACAATTATATTCTGAGCGCAGGCCACTCTCTAAATTTAGTTGGTCAAACAACTGTAGATTGCTCTGTGGAAGCTGTGTCTTTCTTTCAGTTCCTGCAGCGCTTGTATTCATTTTTTCTTGCATCAACACATCGTTGGAATATTTTATTACGACACGTTGAGGAAAATCTTGAATGTCTTGTCCCAAAACACCCATCTGACACCCGGTGGTCTGCCCGGGCTGATGCGACAGAAACAGGCTTCAGGGGCTACAAACAATTCCAAAGTGCTCTACAAGAGATTGCAGAGGATATTGACCAGAATGGTCTCACGAAGCACGAAGCTGGCGCACTTGCAAGTTATATGAACACTATTGAAGTTGCTTTCATGTGTGAACTTTGGAATGACATTTTACAACGTTTCAATGGCTGCAGTAAACTGCTACAAAGTTCAACTATTGAACTAAGCCCAGCCATTGGATTGTTAAAAAGTTTAGACACATATTATATAGGTGAGTGTCGAGGAAAGTTTGACTATTACCATGACAAGGCATGTGACCGATGTGGAAGCAGCATAAATAAATCAGACAGTCGGAGAGCACGTGTACACAGGAGAGCAGTAGATGACGGAGATGCCGCATGTGTGATGGATGTAATCTCGGGTCAGGAGAAATTCAAAGTGAATACATTCTTGGTTATCATGGTCCAACTGAAAAGTGCCCTATGCAGGCGAATTGACGCCTATTCAACAGTAGTGCAACGGTTTGGTGTTTTAACAGAGCGTGATTCAATGTCAGCTGAAGACATCAATGCTTCAATATCAGCACTTGTTAATGTCTATCCACATGACCTCTCTCCTAACTTTCCAATGGAATATAGACAGTGCGGTTGTGCCTGTCTCTAGTGTCAACTAACTGCACTGGCGAACATTCATTTTCGCAATTGAAACGCATTAAAGACGTTTAGCATTCAACCATGTCTCAGCAGGGGCTATGGATGCTAGCACGTCTTTCAATTGAAAGCGATTTACTGCACAACTTTGACATTAACAAAGTCGTTGATGAATTCGCTGTTGCAAAAGCACGCCAAGTGGCAATCTAGGTAAGAAATAATAATGCATAATGTTATTGTTGTGAGACCTTAGTTACATTATCTTATTGGTATGTTGTCCATATTCCATACTGTCATACGTTGGACTTGCTGACAGACAGACACACGCACAGACAGACCGCGCATTTGTGTGATGTGTGTGTAGTTTTGAATTTGCAAGCAAGCGCCCGCGCGCGCGCGCGTGTGTGTGTGTGTGTAAAACGGGTTAGGAGGGGAGGGCGGGGAGGGGGGGGGGAATTTACATCATATCTAACTTTTTCAGGCCACTCAGTGAAGTGTGCCTTGGGGCCAGCTGGGTCTTAATCCGGCACTGCATCTAAAGCGTTCCAAACAGACATCTCAAAGCATGAAAGCAAGAACGTTGGGTTCTTCATGGTATTAACGATATACTGTCTTTTAAACTCTGAAGCTGAAGGTTGTATAGAGAGATTAGAGGGGGTGATGGGCGAGGGAGACGGGATGGGTGGGAGGGGGATAGACGGAGAAGAGATTTCTAACAAGTAATTAATGTTTGTTTTCTGCCTTACTTTCAATATTGTGGAGCTGATTGCCGAACACTTCAAACTTTTCCTGAAACTGCAACAGGATATCCTTCTGTAGACTGGCGACCCTGTCAGTGCTATGTTCCCAGTAGTTGATTTCTTGAGCGATCTTCTCGCTAATGACCAAGGATGCTGTCTTTAACACGTTCTGCCAGGTCCTCTCTCGCTTGGGGCATTCGTCTTCATGCCAGGCCATAAGACGCATTCTAAATGGTAACAAATGGACGGTTTAGCGGGTTGTAAAAGGTCTGAATGGTTCTAACTATTAGTTTTGTTGGAAAAGTTGTAATTGTTTCAAATGATTTGATTAATTGACATTTTCTAATTCATTAATTGTTTTCTGGTTTGCTGAATTTGGTAAACAGACAATTGGTATTCCCCCATCAAAGTAATTCTTATGACTTAAACTGAAGTCTGTTTGATCCAATTCATGCTCCATCCCATCAAGAACACGGTGATACACACTGAAATGTTTATTGTCTCCCCCACGTGGGAATTTAACTAACGAATTTGGCTTGCAATAAAAATAAGCTTCATCATTACATAGCAGAGGATAGTGGGCATATTCGAAGAAGAAACGTTTACAGACAATGGCAGCAAAGGTGGTCAGCGGTGTGTTGTTGTGAAAGCTATCACTTCTTTAAAAGACATCCCTGATGTAACCTATATGAACATATTATGTGGAAAATAAATATGGAGCATATTTCAAAGATTCTACTAAACTGAAGAAGCTCACACCCCTGAAGACAAGTAAATCAGATTAAATAAAACATTGCTTTCCTTTTGTCGGCCCCTCACCTTGTCTTCATAGAGTCTAGATGGGACATGAGATCCTGGCCGGCCTCAAATGTAGCACTCTTCACCTCCTTCCTCATCTGGTGCAGCAGTTTCTCTGCATCACCCTGCAGTCGCTTCAGCCTCTGTTGCACTGTGTCGTATGTGGATTTGATATCCTCCACCCTGCGTTTATTCATAGTGTAGCTCATGCGGAGGGTATACAATGATCGCTTCAGGATAGTCCACAGGAATCTGCCAGTATAATAAAACAATGTTTCTAAAGTTCCTGTTTCAAACGTCCTACCAACATGCACTCCCGCAAGCGCC